CCCCTTGACCACTGCATTTATACTGCCTCTAATGAATAAGATTCTGATTTAAGAAAATAAATACCTCTGAAATAAAACACATACCTAGGTCCAACTACTCTGGGTTCACTTACCTATTTAATTCTTTTTAATTACTACACAATAGACTTTCTCCTTACTTATGCTATATCTCATTTTTGGACATTTGCTTCTATCACAGATAGAATGAAGGGTGAATCTTCAGTGTGATTGAAAGCTTGCCCACTCAACATTTCCTCTCTATAGCTAAGACTGCCACCTAGTGAGCTAAAACGAATAACTTGATCAGCGTAATTATTTTGAGAAATAAAATACAAAAAAAGACAGACAGGTGGACAGTGAGAAAGACAAATGTTAAGATATGCATCTGTGGGCTTGCCTGGTGGCGCAGTGGTTAAGAATCCGCCTGCCAATGCAGGGGACACGGGTCAAGCCCTGGTCCAGGAAAATCCCACAGGCCGCCGAGCAACTAAGTCTGCGCCACAACTACTGAGTCTGCGCTCTAGACCCTGCGAGCCACAACTACTGAGCACGCAAGCCTAGAGCCCGTGCTCTGCAACAAGGGAAGCCACCGCAGTGAGAAGCCTGCACACCACAATGAAGAGTATCCCCCGCTCGCCACAACTAGAGAGAGCCCATGTGCAGCAACAAAGACCCAACACAGCCATAAATAAATAAATAAATTTATATATATATAAAAAGATGTGCATCTGTTTTCAATAGGTTTTCTCTGGAAACACATAATTTAAATCATTAACAAAAAACCTCCGTTTTTAAAATTAGTGACTTACGCAATACCGACAGTTTCAACTAAAAGAACAGCATCTTACCCCTGAGGTTCCTGTGGGTGGCTGTGAGCCCCAGGGTCTCTACAGCACTGTATGAACACCACAGTGACATGTTGTACCATATGCGTACCCATGTCATTCCACCCTCCGCCTGGGCTCAAGGACAGAAATCTCATTCACTTTGCTATCCCTCATATCACTGAATGTGCTGAATGAAGGAACGCAGGAAAAGAAGCTTGAAGACAACATATCGTAATATTTCTGTTTTATAAACGTAAACTGTACCTTTAATATAACTCTCAACCTGGGCAATTCTGCTCCCCAGGGAATTTTTGGTAATGTCTGGATACATTTTTGGGTGTCACACTGTGGGGAAAGGGATGCTAATGGCATCTAAAGCAGCGAGGGATACTGCTAATCATCCCAAAATGCACTGCGACAACCCTATCAAAAAAATTATCTGGCTCCAAGTATCAATCCTGCCAAGGCTGAAAAACCCTGCATCCTCCCAACTATCCTTATTAGAAAGTATACAGATTAATGATAAATACCAATTTATAATAAACTGAGCCTAGAACCCAATTCTGTTTTATGTATATAAACCAAGTATTTCTTATACTGGTTTAATACACACTTGATTTTCTAAGAATATAAAGTGTATAATGTATATGAATACAGTATGATTAACCTTTGTAATCACAGAAAAGCTACACTTTTTATTTTTTAGAACTTTACCAAGAATTCTTTATCACTTAAGGAAAACACCAATTATGGTATATAAGTTGCCAATGAATCACACCTTCATTAGTTCACTTGTAGCTATCACATTCAATGGTAATTCTATATAAAAATGTAAACAGCTATTTCATTTATATTCCATTTATATCTGAGTATGTATATCAACAATTACAAATATCGAAATAAATTTTAAAAATATAAATCTGCACTTCTCTTTTTATGAATCCAGCATACACCCATACCAAATCCTGAGAAAGCACACAAAAAAAGAAAAAGGCAAAAATCCTTAAATACATTAGTAAAAGGAACTCAGAAATACAGGCGTCAAAGAAGGGTTAATCTAGGACTAAAAGGATGGTTCAATATTGAGAAATCTAGTAATGTATTTCACCAATAGCAGTAAAGATCTTTAAAAGATGCAAAAATAATTTATTGTTTACCTTCCCAATATTTTCCTGATTTATATGGCTGTTTCATTAACATAAAAAATACATATACATATATCCACCATATCAGGTCTGTAAGGATATTTGCTGCAGCAATGTTAAGTGTTTAAAAATCCATGCATCAGAGACACCTATAAAACAGAATACTAAATAGCCACACAGGGCGACTTCCCCTGTGGTCCAGTGGGTAAGACTCTGTGGTCCCAATGCAGCGTGCCCAGGTTTGATCCCTGATTAGGGAACGAGATTCCCCAGGCATGCCGCAACTAAAGATCCCGCATGCCGCAACTAAGAAGTCCACATGCCACAACAAACATCCCATGTGCCACAACTAAGACTGGCACAACCAAAATAAATAAATAAACAATAAAATAAATAATATCCTAAAAATAAATAGCCACACAGCATCACTGAATACCTGTAGTATACAGAAAGTAAACTAGAGAAATAAACACTAAACTATTTACAGCACTTATTTCTAGATGTGTGGGATTTTACTAAAAAGCATATATGATTACTTTTATAATCTGAGGTGCAAAAAGTGAAAATCCTCATTTTGTCTTTATAGCCAAGTAATGAGGAGATGGGAGGAGTTTAAGCCTTGCGAAAGGCCATATAACATGGCAAATGAAATCAGGTAATACTAAGGAACAGAACTGTAGGTAAAAAATACACAAACAGGGGCTTCCCTGGTGGCGCAGTGGTTGAGAGTCCGCCTGCCAATGCAGGGGACACGGGTTCGTGCCCTGGTCCGGGAAGATCCCACATGCCGCAGAGCGGCTGGGCCCGTGAGCCATGGCTGCTGAGCCTGCGCGTCCAGAGCCTGTGCTCTGCAACGGGAGAGGCCACAGCAGTGAGAGGCCCGCGTACCGAAAAAAAAATAAAAAATAAAAGTAAACAGGAAAACACTGACCAAAGTTAAAACAATAGTATCCACAGAAAGCACACACAAGGCACACAAAAATCACAATGGCTTAGTGTAAGGAGTACTATGAGGGTTACTGCTAAATCCAAGTATACTCCTAAAATTTCTCCAATGAAATACCATCAAGAAATCCTACAGTTTCATGCTACTCTTACAGAGCTACTGCAATCTCTCTCCTATCAAACACTTGCCTCAATTTAAACATCTGCTTCCAGAACAGATACGCTACACTATGCTGCCATCTACAGAACAGACTTAATACTAAAAATTCCCACTGAGAAGGTTTACGTTGTTGAAAGTGCCAAGATAAATGAAAGAGAAACTAAAAATAGTGATGTACTATATTGGGAAGTAGAAAAGAGAGATACGTGTTGGAATCAGAGAGATGATAAAGAATAAGTCATTAGACGATGTTTCAAGTTAAAAAAATAACAGTATGAGCATATTATTTAGAAAGATGGGAAAAACCACCAGAAGAATCTAAAATAAAACCAGTTAAGTTACTTGCCAGAAAAAAAAGGGACTGGAACTAGAGAAAGGAAAAGCACATCTGCTGTTTATGGTAAGATCTTCCTTACTATTTGAACATGTGATACTTGTGATAAGTTTTTTTTAATACTGTGAAAATCTTCTTCAAATGGATTAACTATGCTTAAGAATAAAGGAATCGGTTGTTTCTTTGTTTAAACTCAGAAGGACTTAAAAATCAAGTTTTTAAAAGGAAGAAATCAATTTGACAATTATAAAAGTTTACATAACACCAAAATTCCAAGTAATAGAGACTCAGGCAATACAAACATTGCTCAGCCAAATCTTTCTTAAATGAGCACCTATCATTACAATGTACAGAAGGAGCTGACTACTATCTTGTTTACATATAGGAAGCTTACCTTATTTATTAGAAATGGCATTACAGAAGAGCCGGAATACTTTGCAAATTTCATTTAATTAACAAACATTTATCGAGAACCAACTATATATCAATACAAGGTATTCTGGATGAAGATTTTCCCAAAAATACAATATTCTATTTCCTACAAAAAATCATGGTCATCTAAGTAACCTTAGGTTGACGAAACTACAGCACCACAAGCCTGATTATCTACAGCCAGATAACACATAAGAGAAAACCTTAGGGTTACTGTACAAATTACAAGTCATAATCAAGACAGGTTTGGGCTCTATAGGGACAAGATTTGTAAATGCTCTTCTTATACAAAATTACTCATTCAACAGAAACTCTTTCATTTAATGTCATAAAAAAAAGTCAATATGACTACCAGGTTGACACAGCAATAGTTTCACTGTTTGCAGTCTATACTACTATCGTACTATATGTCCCTCTATATTTTTAGAATATTTTGCTGGGAGTTTGTATCACTTTTGAAATTTTATAATTAAAATGACATTCAATCCTTTTCTTTGCCTTTTGATAAAACTTCAAAATTAATACAAATTTAGAGTAAAACATAATTGCTTACATGAGAATATCTACTTGTATAGAAAAGAAATTTCTTGTGACTAAACCCTTGTTTAATTACTATTTTACTGGAAAATATTGATGAAATATTTTAAACTAAAATCCAAAATGTAAGTATCACACATTTAGTACAAGACAACATACAGCTTAGCATACAACTCTAAAATTGCCAGAAAGAAAAAATTAATCTCCTTTCTTATCCAATTTCATAATCAAAAAATTCTAAGTTATTTAAAAGAATATCAGTCTCCACAAAAAGTTTATTCTTTTTCCCATCCTGAAACAAGCTTTCATATCAAGATATGAAGTAATATTTGTAAAACAACAGAAATAAACCGCTGTTTGGTACAGCTGAGCTATGAGCATAAGAAATCATGAACTGCTATACTATGACTGTACCTAAAATCTTTCAAATTACACATTTCAAACTGCATTGTGAGAAACAATACATTAGACATAGAAGTTATTAGCGCTGAGATGATAATGCTAAAAAAGCAGTATTATAAAATTTAAGTTGTAATTGTATTATAATATTATAAATTCTGTCACCCTAAATTTGTAACATGTCTGCAAATTAAAGAAAGCATCTATACAGAAAGGCTCACCTTCATCCACAGAAAACTGACAGCTCTTATCATTGAAGAAAAGAATTTTCTTCTTATCAGGACGGTTTACAAATAGTATCTGGTCCCCTAAAGCCTTAAAGATAAAGAAAAAATTTTCAGTTAACTCCAAATTACATCACCCAAGAAAAAAAAAATTTTTTTTTTTTAAAACAACAAAGGACTCCCACTTCCTTTAACCCTCAGTACACCATTAGGGTCCACTAGACCAAATTTTAATTCTTGAGTTTCTTTCTTGAGCAGTTCTGTTTTTAAGAACTGATATTTTGAGACTTTTATTCTTAGAGATCATCCAAAGTACATAAAGAAAAAAAATTGTTTTAAATAGAACAAAATTCAATCTATGTTGCAATTACAATTTGGGTCTACTGGACCCTTTCATTAATCTGTGAGAAAAACTGTGGAAACTCATTGTTCTTACTTTTCCTTTACCTTGAAATATTTTGTTACTCATCATTATCCATCTATCATTTCCAATTATACTTTGAAAAGCTAGAACAGTAAGAAAATGGAAGAATGATTAAATCACCTAAAAATGTGTGTGCAACTATGAGATAAATAGCCATCCTTCAGTTTTCTTCCTGCACTGCCCAAAATACTGCATCATCTTTAAAGAAAATATAAAAGACTTGAGTAGTCTTTACTATCTTTTAGCTTTCACTGAGCACAGTTGACAATTAAAAATTTTTCATTTTCTACCACTCTAGCAATGACAAGAAAATTGATATAAGATATTTCATTATTATTAATTAATGAGAAGAATGCAGAAAGCCTGGTAGCAGTAATCTGGACTATAATGATGATGGTAAAATTCATCACAGAAATAAAGTCTCAATCTATGAGCCTTCAGATGACAATAATCTCAGCCTTAGGCATCCATGTGTGAACTACATGGACTTAACAGATATATAAAGAACATTCCATCCAAGAGCAACAGAATACACACTATTCTCAAGTACACACTTGACATTCTCCAGGATAGTTAATATGTTAAGCCACAAAACGAGCCTTAACAAATCACATCAAGCACCTTTTCTGACCACAATGGTACGTAAAACTAAACATCAATTATAAGAAGATGGAAAATTCACAAATATGCAGAGATTAAGCAATATGCAGAAATTAAGCAATATGCTGCTAATCACTGGGTCAAAGAAGAAATTTAAACATACCTTGAAAAAAATGAAAATGGAAATACAACATACCAAAACTTATGAGAGGTTAAAAAAAAAAAAAGCAATTCTAAGAGAAAGTTCATAGGTATAAATGCCTACATCGAAAAACAAGAACAATATCGGATAACCTAAATTTACACCTCAAAGAACTAGAAAAAGAACAAATGAAGCATGAAGTTAGCAGAAGGAAGGAACTAACAAAGATTAGAGTGGAAATAAATTTAAATAGAGACTAAAAAGACAACAGAAAAGAGTAATGAAACTATGAGCGGGTTCTTTGAAAAGATAAACAAAATTGACAAACCTTTAGCTCAACTATCCAAGAAAAAAGGACAGAAAACTCAATTAAATCAGAAATGAAATGAGAGGCGTTACAAATAATACCACAGAATACAAAGAATCGTAAGAGACTACTATGAACGTACACCAACAAAATTGGACAACCTAGAGGAAATGGATGAATTTCTAGAAACATATAAGCTATCAAGACTGAATCATGAAGAAATAGGAATTCTGAACGGATCAGTTACTAATAAAGAAATTGAATAAGTAATCAAAAATCTCCCAACAAACAAAAGTCCAGGACCAGATAACTTCACTAGTGAACTCTACTGAACAAAGAAGAATATCAATCCTTCTTAAAATCGTCCAAAAAACTGAAGCAGTTCATCAAACTCATTTTTCGAGGCCAGCATTACCCTGATACCAAAACCAGATAAAGTATGCTACAAGAAAAGAAAATTACAGGCCAATATCCCTGATGAACATAGATGCAAGAAATCCTCAACCAAATAGTCAACACACCAAATTTAACAATACATTAAAAGAATCACACACCACAATCAAGTGGGATTTATTCCAGGCATGCAAGGATGGTTCAATATCTGCAAATCAATCAATGTGATACAGCACATCAACAAAATGAAAGATAAAAATCATATGACCATTTCAGTAAATGCAGAAGAAGCATTTGGCAAAACTCAACATCCACTTATGGTAACTCTCCACAATGTGGATACCAAGGTAACATATCTCAACATAATAAAGGTATGAGTCTTGGTGAGGATATGGAGAAAAGGGAACCCTAGTGCACTGTTGGTGTGAACGTAAACTGATGTAGGCACCTTGGAAAACAGTATGGAGGTTCCTCAAAAAATTAAACTACCATATGATTCAGCAATACCACTTCTGGGTATTTTTATCCAAAGAAAATGAAAACACTAACTTAAAAAGATATATGCACCACCTTGTTCAGTGCAGCATTATTTACAGTAGCCAAGATATGGAAACAGCCTAAGTGCCCAATGATGTATGAATGGATAAGGAAAATGTGTTATATATAAACAGTGGAATATTATGCAGCCATAAAAAAGAATGAAATCTTGCCATTTGCGACAACATAGATGGACCTTGAGGGCATTATGCTAAGTCAAGTAGGTCAGACTGAGAAAGACAAACACTGTATGATCTCACTTATATGTGAAATCTTAAATAAATAAATAAATAAATATATATATATATATATATATGAGCTCACAGATACAGAGAACAGATTGATGGTTCCAAGAGGCAGTGAGTGGGTCAAGGGGTGGGCAAAATGCAAGAAAGGGGTCAAAAGGTACAAACTTCCAGTTGTAAAATAAGTCACAGAGATGCACTATACATTATGATGACTATAGTTAATAATACTGTATTGCATATTTGAAAGTTGCTAAGAGAGATCTTAAAAGTTCTTATCACAAAATAATTTTTTTGATAACTATGTATGTGACGCATTTAACCAGACTATGATCATTTTTTACAATTAAAAAGAATTTTTAATTAAAAAAACCCTTAGTTGATTCAATACACCATCTTAAAATTAAACCATATCACAAACACAGAGTTATTAAAATTATTCTGGAAGTTAATTTAATTATTAGAAAACCCCCAAAAAACAACTACTGAGAGATGAATAATCTGGAACAGTCACTGGTTTTTCTCATTGTCTATATGGTCAACAAAATGACAGTAAAAGTTATCTTCTATCTCCACCAAGAACTGAAGAAAAGGAAACAACACAGAAGGGATTTAACTTAATTAGGCCAAATTTCTCCCTTGAGAAATTACTTAGAACATATCTTCACATATTTAAAATGTGAGGATTTTTTAAAACTTGGGGCTTCGAACAATTTAGAAATAATACTGCTTGCAAATGACAGACTGTGTGCTTTTCATGACCCCTTTTCAGCTCTACTCCTTAAGGAAGAGAGCCATCAAAAACAGGGTAACAGGGACTTCCCTGGTGGTGCAGTGGTTAAGAATCTACTTGCCAACGCAGGGGACACAGGTTCGATCCCTGGCCCGGGAAGATTCCACATTCTGCGGAGCAACTAAGCCCGTGTGCCACAGCTACTGAGGCTGTGTTCTAGAGCCCACAAGCCACAACTACTGAGCCCACATGCCACAACTACTGAGCCCACATGCCACAACTACTGAAGCCTGCGCACCTAGAGCCCATGCTCTGCAACAAGAGAAGCCACCACAATGAGAAGCCCACACGCTGCAACCAAGAGTAGCCCCCACTCGCCGCAACTAGGGAAAGCCCACGTGCAGTAATGAAGACCCAGCGCAGCCAAAAAAAAGCAAAAGAAAAAAAGTGGAAGCCAAATGTTAAAAAAAAAAAAAATAGGGTGACAATGTGACTTTACATCACAAAATTATTTAAAATAGAAAAAGCAATTATCAGTTTACATTACTATTCTACTTTAGAATGTAATATAAAGCCTACCAAAGAGTAACAATACTAGCCTGTATCAAAATGGGAAAAAGAATAGAGCAGGAAATGTACCTAGCACTCCCAACTGTTAAGCTAGGATTCAGTAGTTCTACCTTTCAACATGCTATAAATAGTGCACAATTTATCAACTTTGGTCACATATTATTTGCAACATTTGTGCAGGTTAAGTTTAGACACTTAAGTGAAAATCTTAAAAATAGTTCTTCATCTGGTAATGGCCAAGTAGCTCCTAAGGGATCAGCCCACCGGAAGAAAACTACTATACTAATCTCTGGACAAGACATTTTAAAAAGAATAGAGCTAAAAGAACAAAACAGATGTGTCGTATGCCATCCACCACAGAGAATACAAAGTTTGAAGTTTGACTCTAGTCAAGACAAATGCCCACTTAAAAACAAAATAAACAAACAAAAACACTCCTTGGAGGAATATAACAGAATCCTGAGCCATATAATTCAGTGTTCAAGACTCAAGAGAAATTAGGTGCATGAAGAAAGAAAACATGACCCGTACTCAAGAGACGAAGTCTCAGAGCAGACCATCCCCAAGATGACCCAGGTCTTGAAATTAGGAGAATTTTAAAGCAGCTACAAGAAATTACACGCAGGATGTAATGTAAAATATGCTTGTAATGAATGGAAGAAAAACAAAAAACAAAATCTCAGAAAAGAAACAGAAACCTAAGAAAGAATGAAAAGAAAAGTCTAGATGGAACTTCCCTGGTGGTCCAGTGGTTAAGACTCCACGCTCAATCCCTGGTCAGGGAACTAGATCCCACATGCCACAAATAAGACCCTGGTGCAGCCAAATAAATATTAAAAAAAAAAAAACAAAAAACCTCTCTTGAGGGGATTGTTAAAAAAAAAAGAAAGGTCTAGAACTGAAAATACAATCTATAAAGAATTAACCAATTGGGCTTAATAACAAATTGGAGGTAAAAAAAAAAGTACAATTAACAACAGATCAATACAACAACAAAGTCCAAAAGCACGCATGCGTGCACACACACACACACACACACACACACACACACACACAGCCTAAGGGACTTGTGGGACAATACCAAAAAGGCTAACATGTGTAACTGAATTACCAAGAAGTAGAGAAAGAAGCACGTTTTCTCCACAGGTAGCAAAAAGAATGAACCTGCTTACAGGTTAACATCAATCGTTAGCAATTTTGAATAACAGAGACTCGCAGCCTTCCCAAGAGAGTTGAAAATTTAAACAGGAAATGTAAACTCTATCACTTTTACTGATGGCCCCTTTAGGAATTCGAAACAACCAAATTATAAATGTTCTTGTGTTTTAATGCCTCTGATTCCCTCAGGTTAGCAATATGCACAAGCGTTGTTGAAGGAGTTCTTAAATACAAACATAACGACTTATAAGAAAAAGACTGTCTTTGAGGAAATCTTTCCAGAAATATTTTGAAGAATCAATCATACACAACAACACAAAAGGGAGCTGTCAAAAGTTCCACAAAAATGGTTATGCTCTGTCCTGCTCTACAGCACAAAACACAAATTTCAAATCTTTAACTGGCTCGTAACAACCCCAAGTATATATGATGGAGGAGGTTTTAAAAATAACTTTTTTTTAAGTCATGATATTTTTTAAAACCAAAAGATATTATTAATTCAAATTATATTAAGGCATAGAAAGAAAAGAGAGGTTACCTTGACAGCTTTCTGGGAATTGGGCAGTCCTTCCTCAATGTCTTCTAAAAGAATTCCTCCTAAGCCTCGCTGGTCATGCTTATCTAAAAGCCGAAGTAGGGCCTTCTTATCTTTCAAGTTGTACTTGGGCTTGAAGGCATACTTTCCATCTATTACTTCAATTTTGGGATTATTGACTAATGCCTGTAACAGTGACACAATTTGGACATATTAACAAAAGGAAATACCATATATACATTACTTAATTCTACCAATTATTAAAAAACCACAATACTCGTATTACAGTGGCAAACTAAAAGTATCCTGTGGATATCAAAAGATCTAAAACACCGGACATCCAGGATCCAAAACAACAGGTAGAAACCAGCATGGTGCTCATTTTTTATAAAAGAAACTGTTTATTATTTATATAGATTCTTTGGATGAGAAAGAAACCACTTTATTACAACTGCTTTGAAGAACGCTGTACCCATATTCTTTCAGAAGACAAAAGAGGTAAGGATCAATAAAACACCTATTAACATCACTAGACAAAGTAAAATGGGTACTGCCTACCCCACCCTCAAAGTATAGTTTATCACATATTGGGATTATAATGTGAGAAACATTACAGTGGGATGAAAATACCAATAGTCAGTCTGCTCCACATGGTATCAAATGGCACTAGCAGCTATGGAAGGAACTGAAAAGGACCAGACTAGTGTGTATAAGAAATTTACCTATAATGTTGTCAGCTGAGATTGAAACTGAGTAGGAATGCAGAAATTACTGAATATAATTATGTTTCTAGTCAGTCCTGTTGTATAGCTAGTATCAGAAGGAAAGCCCTTCAAGAAAAAGCAACCCTATTAATTTTCTTCTACAGCTGCCAGCCTGATCCTGAAAGGATAAAAAGAAGAAACAGAAAGAAGAAAGGAAGGAGAATAGAATAGTAATTAAAATAAACTTTACCTAATGTGGGTAGTCCATGAAATTTCAAGATTAGGTAAAGCATCAAAATTTAAATGTGGATTACCACTATTTGTATATCACTAATATAATGAGCTACAACGATACTAACTGGTTCATTTTACATTAGTAAAATCAAGAACAATATTTGCTCGATAAAATAAATTAAATTCTATTTTAGGAAGTTTACATTTGGTCTTTAGAATCAGCACTGGTCCTAGAAAGTTGTCTTATTAAATTGTCATTTCATACTTAAACAGAAAAGAGACAAATATCTCAACTTTTAAAGTGCTACTCATTTCCAAATTAGCGTGGTCACTGATGGTTGGGGATTCCTTTTCTTCCAGTGTTGTGTGGAACATATTACAATGTTCATGATTATTTTTCCAAGTAATCTGCTAGAGGCAGTAACATCACTATCAAATCATAATAGCAGTAGCGGTATAACAAGTATCTTGCTTAACAAAATACCTTGCTTTCCCTATAATACCTCATGCTTTAAATGTCCTAAAACATAGAAACAATACAACCTGCCAACATGTACATTATAAATTCAGCAATTCAAAATAAGCATCAATTATTCTGTAAAAAGTTAAAAACTGGTACAATGACTGACCTCTTTATAACCTTTATGCTAAAGTCTTTGACATTTTTAAATAGATACATAAGGTTGTATGAAAGTAAGTCAATCTCAAAATGTGTATGTTTAAAGAACAAAAACCCTATACCAATTCTTTTAAGAAAAAGCAAAAATTATCATATCTCAGTATATGAAAACCCTAGTTAGAGCAATTTTTTTTTTTACAATAATTTAAGCCTATTCTTACCTCAGTCATTAGCCATTGTTTCTGCTTGAGTCCAATATCTAAATGTTGTGTTTCATCCAAAATTTCTTCTAAAGTAAGAGGATGTGTATCTCCTCGCTGATGCCGTGTCTATTGCGGCAAGAAACTGTTATTAGAAGACAGGTTTTTTTAATGATTTTTTTTGGGGGGTGGGGGGCACGCTGTGCAACTTGTGGGATTTTAGTTCCCTGACCAGGGATTGAACCCAGGCCCTCAGCACTGAAAGCACAGAGTCTTAACTACTGGGCTGCGAGGGAATTCCCTGGAAGACACTTTTAAAATGCTAGATGCGGGCTTCCCTGGTGGCGCAGTGGTTGAGAGTCCGCCTGCCGATTCAGGGGACACGGGTTCGTGCCCCGGTCCAGGAAGACCCCACATGCCGCGGAGTGGCTGGGCCCGTAAGCCATGGCCGCTGAGCCTGCGCTCCGCAACGGGAGAGGCCACAACAGTAGGAGGCCCGCGTACCGCCAAAAAAAAAAAAAAAAGGTAAAATGCTAGATGCATTAAATAATAGTTAGCAGTAAATTAATCTATTCAGGAATGCGGAATGTGTATTATTTAAGGCAGTACAATTATAGTGATGAAAAGAATGGACTATAAAATCAGACAGAACCGGGCTTCCCTGGTGGCACAGTGGTTCAGAGTCCGCCTGCCAATGCAGGGGACACGGGTTCGTGCCCCAGTCCAGGAGGATCCCACATGCCGCGGAGCGGCTGGGCCCGTGAGCCATGGCTGCTGAGCCTGCGCGTCCGGAGCCTGCGCTCCACAACGGGAGAGGCCACAACAGTGAGAGTCCCACGTACCACAAAAAAAAAAAAAAAAAAAATCAGACAGAACCAAGTTCAAACTTGTAGCTATATAAAATCAAATGACAATCTGAGAAAAAAATTTGCAATTCATATCACAAAGAGTTAGCCTTCCTAATATTTTAACAGGTCCAAAAACTTAACAAGAAAATGACCCAAGACAGGAACACAAAAAGCACAAAAAAAGAGCTACAAATGACCTTAGACATATGAAAAGATACTCAACTTCCACTAAGGTATTTCTTATCACACCGGCAAAATTCCATGCTTGACAACTCTACTGGTGAGGCTGTAAGGAAACAGGCCCTCTCACACACTGCTGGTAAGAATGCAAATTGATACAACTCCTACAGAGGGAATTCGGCAATATAAATGCATTGAAACCCCTGACCCAGCAAGTCGGCTTCTAGGAATTTACCTTACAGATAAACCACAATGTAGAAAAGCAGCACTGTTGTAAAAGGAAAATCAGAAACATTAGTTTTATTAAGACATACTATTAGAACTACTACAACACTAAGTTGTATTTGGAAAAACTCAAGTGGCCATCAATAGAGGACTGATTAAATAAACTACAGCACATCTATGCTACTATACAGATGTTAAAAAAAAGAAAATACAGAGGTTCTCTATGTGCTAATTTGGAAAGATGTACCAGGACAAACCATTAAGTTAGAAAACATATGTAGGGCCTTCCCTGGTGGCGCAGTGGTTGGGAGTCTGCCTGCCAATGCAGGAGACATGGGTTCGAACCCTGGTCTGGGAAGATCCCACATGCTGCGGAGCGGCTGGGCCCGTGAGCCACAACTACTGAGCCTGCGCATCTGGAGCCTGTGCTCCGCAACGGGAGAGGCCGCAACAGTGAGAGGCCCGCGCACAGCGATAAAGAGTGGCCCTTGCTCGCCGCAGCTGGAGAAGGCCCTCGCACGGAAACGAAGACCCAACACAGCCAAAAATAAATTAATTAAAAAAAAAAGAAAGAAAAAACATATGTAAGTGGCACAGTGGTGTACGTCAGAATCACCTGAAGGAAGGGCTTGTGAAAACACAGACTGCTGAGCTGCACTCCCAGAGTTTCAGATCAGTAGATCTAGGAAGGGGCCCAAGAATTTGCACTTCTTACAAATTCCCAGGAGATGCTGATGCCATTGGTTGGAGAATGACACATTGAGAACCAATGAGCTAGGCTAAACCAAACTAACCAAATTTTTCAACATGATTTTTTACATAACTGAGATACAACCACATAAAGGGATAACAGTGAGATCAAGAGAAAAATCATTCCATCAAAAACAAAGTGCACAACTGATTTGTCATCTTAGAACTAGAGCAGTGTCTCACACGGACCTAACAGTATCTCTTGAACCTTCTCCATATAATTTCTACATAATTCTCATCGAGCAATTAAAGAGCTCTTCCATCAGTAAACGAATAAACTATGAGGAGTATTTTGTGTTGCCTTTTTCCTTTCTTTCTGAGTTCTTGGTTTTATCAGCTCTTCAAAAAGGGTACAAAAGGTACACTTCCGAATGTACTCTTTCCCTTTCAAAACAGGCCTGTCCCCTTTTTACCAAAAAAAAAAAAAAAAAAAAAAAAAGGTATAACTCTCACCTCCACCCAGAATTTATACTGCAATACCTGGAGGTATATTAAACTCCAGGGACTCAACCAAAAGGGCAAGTCAAAAGAATATTGTTTTGGGGAAGCCTTCATAAATGATAAATTGAGGTATCAAACTATCCACTATAGACGGGGCTTCTTGTCTCTTCCAGTCCTAAATATTTTTCTAGGAGTTAAAAATAGGATATTTTGCCCTTGCTATGACATTCTAAATTCTGATGAATTACAGTTTGTGGGCAATTGAGAGCTGTTCCCTGTAAACAATTCTGTCTCTTCCATCCCCACACACCCTACCTCCATGCCATACTGTCCAAGAATGCATCACTCTTAGGGGAGAATCTCCAAATAAAGGGAACATGGTAAGAAGTATCTAATGATAAATATAGGTTTTTTCAGGTATTTTCATATAAGTAATTCTCTTCAGCAATTCTCAAAATCCATTCCTTGAATATTTATTAGCCTGAAGAAAACGCACATTTAAAGAACTGAAGCAGTATCAATAAAGGAGGCTGATTCTTTTAAGTATAACAAATATTTTCTTGGACTACCAAAATGTTCAAATCATGCTACATAAAACCCATAGACAAAAACCACACAGGAATTGTTTCAGACTGAGTTTGCATTATTCAATGTGGTAGTTAAAACCTACTTTATCAAATCATATCATGAATTTTTCATTCTAATTAGTCAATTCTCATTATGCTTTAAATATTTAATATTTCTAACTCCTATTAAAAAAATAAGTCATAGCTAGCTGTAAAACCAATTCATTTTTAGCAATAGGTATACTTCTCCTTCATTAATCACCCCAAGATAAAATTTACAGTTATTTTTGAATCATTCCCTTTTATTTATATCTAAAAGCTGAATATCAGAGATGGAAGATACAAGCACACACATTTAGAAAAGGAATAACACACTGTTTAACACATCCTTGCTTCATAAACATTTGATTACTTATAATGATGCAATGTTACATGATGGTAGACTGTGTATTTATTTTTTACATTATATAAAAATGGAAAAATTCATTCTTTTTGATCCTTATAATTTTAATCTCAACTACCTTAGTAGTATCTGTTAGTATTCATTCCATACTATATTTCTAAGTGACTTTTATATTACTTAAAATATGATAAAAAATAAGTTTGGTATATCTGGTTGGTCTGACAATGGAGACTAGCTTTGTTAACCAGAAAATAATTTCCATAAACTGAGTATGCTAGACCTTCAACCTGACAGTTTTGGCAAAAATATATTTATACACCTAAGATAAAAGTATTTCATCAAAAAAAATTGCACTGCAAAGGTGTGTTGAAACTAGTATTTTTATTTTCTCAATTGCTTCTGAATATATCAGATTAACCAAAGTACCAATATGGGGAAGAAGAGGAAGCTGATATAATTAGACATTTACTGAGTCTTGGTCAAACCTTTTTGATACATGTCCTAGAAGCTAAGTAGATGGTTAAGGACCAGGTAACAAATCCTCTGGCAAGCTAGGTGATTCCCATTCTTTTGCTTTCAACAAAACTGAAGAAGGACCTAACAGAAGTGTCCACTGATAAATGTTTGATGATAAATCACCATGTAATTTCTGGCATACAACTTGGAAGGTTTTGCTATCACAAAATTAGAATAAACTTATTTATATGAACATTTATTTCTCAGCACTTAAACCTACAAGATCTCAAAATAAGACAGGAAATTGGTGCCAAATTCTGTTTCATTCTATCAGTAAATAACATATTATCTCCAGACACAAGAACCACTGGAGAGATAAGACAGCTCCATTTATTTCATTAAAAATGGATTTCTGTTGCATAATTATTACATACAAAGTCAATTTTAATCAAAATTTTAATATATTTATGTTATTCTAATCAACTATGTGGTAATAATAATTATAATGATGGCTCAAACCAGAAAATATTTAGAGCCTTATGGTTACAGGGAAAACATCCCTAATTTCAATTTATATACATATTATTGTGACAAAGGAGTTTGACAGATGATCAATAGAAGATTTCCAAACACTAAAATACATAACATTAGGATAAAATTCAGTGGGAGTAACAGAACTGACATACAAGTTGAAAGGAAAATAATTAAAATTTCCAACCACTAAAGTTTGTTTTCATATTTTTAAAAAATGGCATTTAGATTCCCTTAGATAAATTTAAGAGTGCTGTATTTTACTGAAATATTACAATATGCCAGAAATTGCATCCTGTGTCACTATTTAGACTTTTGTTATAACATAAATAGACTCACAGACATAGAAAACAAACTTATGGTTACCAAAGGGGGAAGGGAGGGGTGTGAGGAGTTTGGGATCAACAGCTACACACTACTATATATAAAATAGATAAGCAAGGACCTACTGTATAGCACAGGGAACTATATTCAATATCTTGTAATAACCTATAATGGAAAAGAATCTGAAAAAGAATATACATATATGTATACCTGAATCACTTTGCTATACACCTGAAACTAACACATTGTAAATCAACTATACTTCAATTTAAAAAAAACCTTTTGCTGAAAAATTACACTTATCAATTTAAATATGTGGATGGAACACACAGCTTTTCAAAATTGTTTCAGGGAACACAGGAGTAAAAATTTGAAGATCGTTGTCATAGATTAACAAAGCAATAAGGGTCTCTAGATAAATGAAAACTGTTTTTAGCAGAGTAGCAAAAACATGACATTAAATGTCAGTCTCCCTCAAAAGACTGACAGCCTCAAGGGCATACATTTTGTCTGGGTATTCATACCATTCGTGCCATAATAGCAGATAGTAGGTTTTAGTATTGCTTACCATGCGGGGGAATGGACGGATGGAATGAAAGGTTAAATGCCTCAGTGTCAGAGTATATTATTTGATAATGGGAAATTGTAAACTAACACATTTCTACCCGAAATCAAATACAAACCACAGATTTCAGATATAGCTAGACAGACACCAGGTCTCTTAAATTACAAAAGAAAAGACTTCACATAAAATTTGATTTATATACTAAGGAATAGCTGAAATTTGAAATAATAACAAATACAGTGCTTTCTTTGACTTTTTTTCAAGAGATACAACTAGTAACTAAATGGGAATAAGAGTTTGGCAGACAAGGGGGGTAAATCTGAAATCACTTAGCCATTTTAGCTATAAATGAAATTTCACTTTCATAAATTAGGTTAGGGTTCAGAATCCTTAGTAAAGTCAAAATGTCATACCATCAAAACTTCAAAATTTACTTCAAGAAATACTAAATCTCTCATCAAACATTAAACTCCAATTCTTTTGTGAGTCAAAGTTTTTCTGAGACACTCAGTAATTCTCAAATTTTGTCCTTCAAGATGTAGAAAAGCCACCATCTGCCTGAACTATGTAGCTTTTTACTTCTCACATCAATGGAAGTAATATCCTGTAAATCGTTCACATTTTCTCACTGGTTTGGTCAGCAGGTATTGACTAATTAAGAGGTGACTATATCTACTGCCTGAGCACAATTTTATTAAATGAAATGGTGGGCTTAAATTGTGTACTTGAACTAATGTAATGTAATGTAAATCAAATACACTTAGATGACTCACTGCAATGCTAACTTGATATAATGTAAAAGGCTTCAGGCAGTAAATTTTTTTTTTTTTTTTACAGTTTTGAGGTATAATAGGCATAACATAAACGACAAATATTGAAACATACAATTTGATAAATTTTGACATGTATATACAAATTTACTTCTGAAAATACCAATCCCCTACTTCCGCCAAAAGTCAACAGAATTTCTGTTAGCTGAGAAAAGTACTTACCTTCATGTAATTCACAATCTTCGCAAGAACACCAAACTTATATCCAGAGCTTCCTGATAGAGCTTTCAAGTTAAATGATCCATTGTTATGATCTGAAAATGAGGTTCAAAAAGCAATTATGACATTTTCATATTAGATGTGATCACTGACTTTTAAGCAACTAAGATGATTTTAACTCTGGTAAAATATTTGTTTTGGAGTCTTCCTATCTAGTAAATTCTACCCTATAAAATTTTGGTGACAAATTCAAAATCTGCATGCATAATAACTTTTCTCACCAAGGATGGAAGCAAAGTATAAATAATTCAAAGGCATTAACATACATTTCTTTTATAAGTACCTTTATCTCACCCTTTCCTTAAGTCTGATTAGATTTCCACCATAATTAAAAGCAAGGTTTATTAAACAAGAGGACAATACAAATCTCAGTCTGATCCATAGTGCTTTTCTAACAACCTTAAAAACCATGAGAAGTGAGTGGATTACTTCTAAGGGATAAAAAGTTCAATTTATCACCAATGACATCAATTTCTGCTTATCAACTTAAAAAAAGTAAATGGGTATTGATTAATGGGAATTAATAAAAAGTATGATACAGTAACTATTTTAAGGTAAATTTTAAAGCTATATTAGGAATAAAAAAAATAAGCACTGTGCTCGCTTCGGCAGCACATATACTAAAATTGGAACAATACAGAGAAGATTAGCATGGCCCCTGCACAAGGATGACACGCAAATTCGTGAATCATTCCATATTTTTACCTAAGTGTCCATCGACAGATGAATGGATAAAGAAGATGTGGCACATATATACAATGGAATATTACTCAGCCATAAAAAGAAACAAAATTGAGTAATTTGTAGTGAGGTGAATGGACCTAGAGTCTGTCATACACAGTAAAGTCAGTCAGAAAAACAAATACCATATGCTAACACATATATATGGAATCTAAAAAAAAAATGGTTATGAAGAACCTAGGGGCAGGACAGGAATAAAGATGCAGATGTAGAGAATGGACTTGAGGACATGGGGAGGGGGAAGGGTAAGCTGGGACAAAGTGAGAGAGTGGCATGGACATATATATATACTACCAAATGTAAAACAGATAGCTAGTGGGAAGCAGCCGCATAGCACAGGGAGATCAGCTCAGTGCTTTGTGATCACCTAGAGTGGTGGGATAGGGAGGGTGGGAGGGAGACACAAGAGGGAGGAGACATGGGGATATATGTATATGTATAGCTGATTCACTTTGTTATAAAGCAGAAACTAACACACCACTGTAAAGCAATTATACTCCAATAAAGACGTTAAAAAAAAAAACACATAAGCACTGCCACTGCATAAACGTGGATACTTAAAAAGGATGTAGCATGAAACAAGGAGCAATCTACATAGAAGATCATTTGGTTCAGAACATATACCATTCTGTTGCATATTTACAGGCAGAAATCCTAATGCTACCATTGCATCACAAATGCATTCTATTAGCCATAGGCAGGAAGAGTAAAAAAAAGTCACTGTAAATACCAGGAAGACATTTCATAAGTACACATTCTATTAGCCAGGCATCAGATCAGATATTATAAAGTTCCCATGTGGCTGATCCACAAAGGAAGAGGTTAAATAAAAGGGGGGAGAGTCAATTTCTGGCACCAGTTTGGTAATAATAATTTAAACAAAAGAATGCATTAGAATAACCACAAGTCAAATTAACAACTGTCAGAGATCCACAGGAACAGCTTCTAGAAGGCAACATAATATTCCTTTGAGATTAGTGAAAAGGCTTTACTGAATGATTTTTTGAGACCTCATATGCAATTTTCCTTTAAAAGTAACTGTTGGGCTTCCCTGGTGGCGCAGTGGTTGAGAGTCCGCCTGCCGATGCAGGGGACACGGGTTCGTGCCCCGGTCCGGGAAGATCCCACATGCCGCAAAGCGGCTGGGGCCGTGAGCCATGGCCGCTGAGCCTGCGCGTCTGGAGCCTGTGCTCCACAATGGGAGAGGCCACAGCAGTGAGAGGCCCGCATATCCCCGTGTAAAAACAACAACAACAACAAAACTTTGTCACAATTTTAATAATATAATAACTTAATTGACACATTAAAGCCTTCTTTACTATGTTTTCAAAAATAGCAATATTAAGAATGCCTTACGAGGACTTCCTTGGTGATCCAGTGGAAAAGAATCTGCCTTCCAATGCAGGGGATGCGGGTTCCATCCCTGGCCAGAGAACTAGGATTCCCACATGCCGTGGGGCAACTAAGCCCACGTGCCACAAACTACAGAGCCCACACGCTCTGGAGCCGTGTGCCACCACTAGAGAGAGAAAACCCACACGCTACAACTAGAGAAGCCCACGCGCCACAACCAAGGGCCTGCGTGCCACAGCTAAGACCCAACACAGCCATAAATAAATAAATAAATAAACAAACGAACGAACAAACAAATAATAAAACTCTGCTCCCTTGGCAAAATTCTAAAAAAACAAAGAATGACTTACAGGTGTGCTTTCACATTTACTACTTCAATTATGAAATACTTCCTACATGGTTCATTTTCCCAAGGTTTCAGGAAACTCATAATGATAATAGTAACTAACATTTATTGAACACCTACTATTGCCAAGACCCGTGCTAAATGATTTTCCCATTTAATCCCTCCTAAAAATCCTATTTAGGAGGTTTTACCGTCTCATTTTTTTTTTTTTTTTAATTTTTTTGCGGTACGCGGGCCTCTCACTGCTGTGGCCTCTCCCACCGCAGAGCACAGGCTCTGGACGCGCAGGCTCAGCGGCCATGGTTCACGGGCCCAGCCGCTCCGCGGCATGTGGGATCTTCCCAGACCGGGGCACGAACCAGCGTCCCTTGCATCGGCAAGCGGACTCTCAACCACTGCGCCACCAGGGAAGCCCCTTTACTGTCTCATTTTAAACCTCAGAAAGCTCAGAGTAATAAGTGGCAGAGCAAAGATTCAAATCCAGTTGTAAACTCCGATATGTCTTGTGTAAGAATCATTAACTAATATTTAACACAGGTTATTCCATCTCAAACTGGATATTTTGTCACAGTACAGAAATTCATAAATGCATATTTGGGGAATTCTTGTTTGACTTTAGGAAAATAATACTACATTTATCCTACACTACTAAATAAACTAACTGGAAAGACTATAAATAACAGTTAAGGACAATATGCTAAGGATAAGCACCACACATACGGTCAATCATGAAGCACATACAGTTTTGTTTACCATAAGGCCTCCAGTGTTTAACTCAATGCCAGGCACAGTCAACAATAAATATTAATTGACTGAATGAATGAACATAATAAGAATATTTCCACATACCCCTTTATTGGCCCTAGAAACAAATGTGCCAATTATCCATAATTTTAAAAAATAAGTCTGCATAGCATTTACCCAGTCTGCTGTTGTTCTAGTAGCCACTCCCATAAATAAAAACCTTGACTGTTGGGCTTCCCTGGTGGCACAGTGGTTGAGAGTCCGCCTGCCGATGCAGGGGACACGGGTTCGTGAAGATCCCACATGCCGTGGAGCAGCTAGGCCCATGAGCCATGGCCGCGCAACGGGAGAGGCCACACACAACAGTGAGAGGCCCGCGTACCGCAAAAAAAAAACAAAACCCTTGACTGTTAAGCTTAGACCACAACTCTAATACACTGTAAGAAAATCATTCTATCTCTACACATCCAACTGAGGATTCTTTTGCAATTTAACTTTCACAGACTGCTTTTTTTTTAACACAGGTGGTGTACCTACCAAAACTTACCCTTCTCCCAAATAATAGAAATAAAAACCTTATTTCCTTTCTTCTTCCTCAGAATTTCATCTAAATCAAACCACCACATAGAAATAATCACTTTCAGAGAGCAAGATTTACGTAAATAACAAGTATTAGAAAGAGAGAAAGCAATTATCATTTATGAGATCTTATGCACACTTCATGGAGGAAACACCACGCTGGTAAACCTGGACTGTTTGTTTCCCAGGTTACTGCCTCTCTTGACATTATCTTCTAGCCCTAGCACTGAAATAATCACTGAAGGATCTGAAATTCTACAGCTAAGCACTATGGAATCATCAATTTGTTACTAACTCACAAATTTCTGTGCAGAAATTTAGCTTAAAGACAAAAAAATAAGGCCAAAATAAGGGGTGACAGTTGAGAACCCAGACGGCTCTATTCAAGTTTATGAATGATTTACTCCTAGGGTGGCAGGACTTAATGCAAATGCACGTAGAGGAAACTGTCAGCTGCATTGTGGTTCAACCAATAGAAGCACAGCTCCATCTTGGCTGTGCACTAGACTGCATTACAAACAGACGGATACCATCGCTTCAACTGCAGCCTTTCAGACAAGAGGTAGGTTATACGATCTTTTCATTTAATAATACATGTCCTTATGATACAATATAAATATTTTACCATAAAAACGAAGCAGAAAGCTTTGTTCCTACTGAAGACCCCAAAAAATGTATTCATGTCATTGTTTGGTAGGATTTTATTATGAAAATATGAAGACTATCTTTGCTATTTGATAAGCACCCTCACCATCTGTGCCTTAACAGAAAATCATTACATTTTCTATGAACCTAATCTATATCCAGACCTCAGAGTAAACCACATGCATGTGATGTTAAGAGGTTACTTGCAAATTTCATTTTCTCCGACCTATTTCATTTCAGCAGTTTGGTTTGTCTTAACAAAGGATTTTTCTTAAAGAAAAATCTAGACTAAAAGCAAATCCAGGACTAAAGCTTTCTGATTATATGTGCAAATTTAAAGCAGTTATTTATAAGAAAGTTTGCTGTATTTTAAGGAATATGAGAAAATAATTCAAAATTTTATTTGACTTTGAGTGTAGATGCAGAGAATGCCAATAAATTATCACACTGTGATTTTTATATAAAAATAAAAAGACCATAAAGGTACCATTACGTAGGCTGCATTATACTGTAACCAAAGAGACATTTATAGAGCTTTAGACTTTCATACATTTTCATTAAAATAATTCCCTACAGTCAAATTTTAAAGTCTCTATCACTATAACATACAAATCATGCTATTAAATA